CCCCCCCCCGGGTCTGATGGGTGAGACGCACGAGGGGCCTTGAGGCTCCCTCCTGTTTCCCACCCGGAAAAGCGGGAACAACCCTTGGGAAAACCATTCCCGTTAGTTCCAGCATTCCTGAGCCTCCTTGGCTCCGGCCGGGCAGCGCGGGAGGAGTTGTGTTTGCAATTGCTGCTCTCCCCTCCTGGTTTGGGACCTCCTTTTTCACCCTTTTTTCCCCCCAAAAGGGCTTTTTTCCCTGGGTTAAGACCCCAGCACTGACGCGTGCCAGCGGCGAGTGCCAGCCCCTCGCATCCCTGCAGGACTCAGCCCGCTTTGGGCTATTCCGCATTAATTCCCCCCAAATCCACCGAGCCCTCGGGGCAGCTGGTGGCGGTGGCAGAAATCCAGGGTGGCTTTAGCCTGTGATCCCGGAGCCGTCACCGGGGTGGCATCAGGACAGTGCTGAAAGGGATTTGTGTCAGGAGGGCGGAGGAGGAGGAGGAGGAGGAGGAGGAAGGGGGGGGGCACATTTCAAATTAGTCGTTAGTTCAAGGGAGCAGAGGCGATGGATGCAGGCAAGGCTGCTTCAGAGGGATTAGCCCCGAGTCGCCAGGATTAATGCTGCCAGGAGCAGAAAGGAGGCTCATGTTCAAGGGCTGGATGCAGCCCTGCAAAAATTATACCCCCCCCCACCCCAAAAAATAATCCGTCTTGTGTTTCGCAAGCTCCCCCCAAGTGAAAATTCCGGCTTTTCTTGAGCATTGGGTCTTGGGAAATCACGGCTCTTTATTTTGCTGACTCAGCAGGTGAGCGCCGCCTCGCTCCGGCAGCCTCCCGAGGACCCCAAAATCTGCACCCCCTCCTCCCCATCCCTGCACCCCCCATCCCCTGCACCCCGCCACCCCCTGCCCCCCGGGGGGGGCTGCCCCGAGCCCTGGGCGAGCTGGGGAGGGGAAGCAGAACGGAGGGGGGGGTGCAGCCCTCCGGGGTGAGTTTTTAGTGCGGGATTAGCTCCTGCCAGGCTTGGCTCTGCCTCCTCCGCCCGCAGGTTTCTCCCTGGTTTCACTGCCGGGGGCCGGGTTTCCACCCCACCAAGGGCTCACGCGGGGTGGGGGTCCGGCCCCGGCTGGACGTGCACCCCACCGGTGCCTCCACAAGCCCTGCCGGCGGTGCAAAATAGGTTAAAAAGCCAGGAGAGCTTTCTCCTTGGGGTAAAAAGCCAGCAGAGCTTTCTCCTTGCTGCAAAATAGGTTAAAAGCCCAGCAGAAATTTATCCTTGGTGTAAAACAGGTTAAAAAGCCAGCAGAGCCTTCTCCTTGGGGTAAAACAGGTTAAAAAGCCAGCAGAAATTTATCCTTGGGGTAAAACAGGTTAAAAAGCCAGCAGAGCTTTCTCCTTGGTGTAAAATAGGTTTAAAAGCCAGTAGAGCTTTCTCCTCGGTGTAAAACGGGTTAAAAAGCCAGCAGAAATTTATCCTTGGTGTAAAACAGGTTTAAAAGCCAGTAGAGCTTTCTCCTCGGTGTAAAACGGGTTAAAAAGCCAGCAGAAATTTATCCTTGGTGTAAAACAGGTTAAAAAGCCAGCAGAAATTTATCCTTGGGGTAAAACGGGTTAAAAAGCCAACAGAGCTTTCTCGGTGCAAAATAGGTTAAAAAGCCAGCAGAAGTTTATCCTTGGTGTAAAACAGATTAAAAAGCCAGCAGAAGTTTATCCTTGGGGTAAAACAGGTTAAAAAGCCAGCAGAGCTTTCTCCTTGGTGTAAAATAGGTTTAAAAGCCAGTAGAGCTTTCTCCTCGGTGTAAAACGGGTTAAAAAGCCAGCAGAAATTTATCCTTGGGGTAAAATGGGTTAAAAAGCCAACAGAGCTTTCTCCTCGGTGCAAAATAGGTTAAAAACCCAGCAGAAGTTTATCCTTGGTGTAAAACAGGTTAAAAAGCCAGCAGAGCTTTCTCCTTGGTGCAGAACAGGTTAAAAAGCCAGCAGAAACCTATCCTCGGTGCAAAACGACCTGGGAAAGCAGGGACCGCTTCGCGTCCGTCTTTTCCTGCTGCCGAGGGAGGGCTCCAGGCAGGCTCCCATCGCCGGAGGCGGCATCCCGACGTGCCGTAAGGGACCAGAGTCCGTGCCCTAAAGCCGTTTTGGCTGGTGGCCTTCAGGTGCTGGGGCGCTTCGTGGTCAGGCCGTAGCATCTGGCTCCCCCACTAAACCTCCCCGCGCGGCGAGGGATGGAGTGATGCAGGTGGATGCGGTTGAAGAAGATGCTTTCATTTTTAACCCGCTGGGTTGGTTTTGTGTGTGATGAGAACTAACCGGGCTCGGCGGCTGGGGAAGCTTTAACAACGGCCTTGTTCGCTACAGAGAGGCCTCGGCGTGGCTTCTGCGTTTGGTGTTGGTGACGGCTTTTCGTGGAAAGAAGAATCGTTGAGGGTTGGCTGATGCGTGCATCTGCTGGCCCCCGGGTTTTGGGAAGCCGCCTTCCCCTGGTTGTGTCCTTCCTGGGGTTGGGGTGGGGGGGACCTGGGACTGCTTAGCTGGTGGCTGCGCTCGTTTGGAGGTGCAATGGGATAGGTACCCCAGCGGGGCGAGGGAGGGGATTGTGCCCCTCTGCTCTGCTCTGGGGAGACCTCCCCTGGAGCCCTGCGTCCAGCTCTGGAGCCCTCAGCACCAGGAGGACATGGACCTGTTGGAGCGGGGCCAGAGGAGGGCTACTAAAATGCTCCGAGGGCTGGAGCCCCTCTGCTCTGAGGCCAGGCTGGGAGAGTTGGGGGTGTTCAGCCTGGAGAAGAGAAGGCTGCGGGCAGAGCTGAGTGCGGCCGCTCAGGGCTT